TTGTGGCCCCAGTGCCTAAAAAAGGGCCCAGACGTGGAAGGCACTTTATGAACATTTGTCAAGGGAAGGAAGATGGTCAGTTCTTGAGTAAAACATTTCTAGTTTGTTCTTCAGACAGACACTGACGCTTTCTTTTAAAATTTATTCCAAGTTTTTTTAAAAAAGTTTTATCTATCTACCCTCAGATAACCTAAGATAATGTCCCTATCTCAAGATCCTTAACTTAATCACATCTGTAAGGTTCCTTTTGCCAAGTAAGAACATTCACAGGCACTGGGGGTGAGGACACAGACATCTTGGGGGCCATTATTCAGTTTACTTTGGGTTACTTTCAAAATTTCTCTTTACATTTGGTTTTCTAGTTCAAATATGATGGTTCTAGGGGTGTGAGCGCGCGTGTGTGTGCACATGTACGTGTGCATGAGAGGGAGCTTCGTGTGTGTTTGGTATTTTGCCAGCTGACCCCGTAATATCCTTTTTCTAAAGGTTTATTTACTTTTAGGTAATCTCTGCACCCAATGTGGGGCTTGAACTTGCGACCTCCAGATCAAGAATCGCATACTCCTGAGATTGAGACAGCCAGGGGCCCAGACCCAATAACGTTCCTTATAGAGGGGCACTTGGGTGGCTCAGTCTGTTAAGCGTCTGACATTGGCTCAGGTCATGATCTCACAGTTCGTGAGTTCGAGCCCCATGTCCGGCTCTGTGCTGATAGCTCAGAGCCTGGAGCCTGCTCTGGATTCTGTGTCTCCCTGTCTCTCTGCCCCTCCCCTACTCATTCTCTGTCTCTGTCTCTCAAAAATAAATAAACATTAAAAAATTTTTTAAAAAGTAGTGTTCTTTATAGAAAAAGAATAAATCTATTTATTTTTTTTCCGGTCAAGGATCCAGCCCAGGGTCACAGTTTCTACATGACGTCCTGGCTCTTCAGTTGTCCTTCGATCTGAAATGGTTCTCCAGTCTTTGTCTTTCGTGACATTGACGTTTATTAAAAGTCCAGCCCAGTCATTTTGTAGAATGTCCCTCAATTTGGCTTGCCTGGTGTTTCCCCATTAGATTCGGCATGCGTTTTGGGCAGGAATGGCACAGAAATGGTGAAGCCCCCGCCTGGAGCGTCACGTCGGGAGGCATGGGATGTCAGTCTGTCCCATTACTGCTGATGTCCACTCTGATCGCTTGATTAAAGGGGGTGTTTCTCAGGTTTCTCCACTTTTATTAAGGTGCTGATTTTCCCTTTCTAATCGGTAAGTATCTTGCAATCAGACACTTTGAGGTTATACACGTTTCTCACCATGTTTTTACCCACGAGGTACATTTTGCACATCAGACCTAAATAGACGTGCAGAAATAGCCTATTGGTTCGCTTTTGAATTTAGAGCAGAAACGTTCTCAAACAAGGGAAGAGAGGTGCCTTCATTAAATTTTCAGATCTGGAAAGTTCACATTGACAGAATTACTTGCACCATGTAAGAAGCGGCTTTAAAATCACCTGCCAAGCCCGTGACCTCTACACAGACAGGGTATAGAACTGCGGCCGAGCGTCAGAGTGTGGCCCAGCTCTAGGATTTCGACAGTGGTCCAACTAGGGGACATTGTACAGAACCGCAGACCACCTCACCATGGACTCCAGAGCGGACACGAGGAACGTCACCACCATCCTGCTCTCTGAGGCCTCCTCGTTCTCCATGGGCAGGGCAGACACCGCCACCTGGGCCATGATCCCTGTCCAAGAGAAGTAACAAGACAGTGAGTGGTAGAAATCCACAGTGACCTCTAAGTACGCATCTAGAGCTGGGACGGTTCTCACAGATGACCTAGCTCCAACCTCCCTTTATGGGTGAAGAAACCGGGGCGCCTGGGGGGCTGAGTCGGTGAAGAGTCCAACTCTTGATTTTGGCTCTGGTCATGCCCTCATGGTTCGTAAGATCGAGCCCTGCTTCAGGCTCCATGCTGACAGCATGGAGCCTGCTTGGGATTCTCTCTCTTCTCGCTCTCTGCCCCTCTTCCCACCTGTGCTCTCTATCTCAAACTAAATAAATACATACTAAAAATAAAATAAAATAAAATAAAATAAAATAAAATAAAATAAAATAAAATAGGGGTGCCTGTGTGGCTCAGTCGGTTAAGCGTCTAACTGGTTCAGGTCACGATCTCGCAGTTTGTGAGTTCGAGCCCCGCGTCGAGTTCTGTGCTGACAGCTCGGAGCCTGGAGCCTGCTTCAGATTCTGTGTTTCCCTCTCTCTCTCTGCCCCTCCCCTGCTCACGCTCTGTCTCTCTCTCTCAAAAATAAACATTAAGAAAATAATAATAAATAAATTCTCTGAAGACACTTGAGGATGCCTTAATTAGATTTATGTTCTTCCTGAGACAGACCATAGGCTAGCAGAACCATTAGGATGCAAATGTTTTTGGTTAAAACTTTTTATAAATCAGTCTCCCTATTATGAAATAGAATGTGACTTCATACCAGGCATGACCTGGCCACGAGCGACTGAGGAAATATACACACTTCAACTTGAGGCTTGTATTTTTTTTTGTATTTTTTTTTAATGTTTTTATTTATTTTTGAGAAAGAGAGAGAGAGCACAGCAGGGGAGGGGCAGAGAGAGAGAATGAGACACAGAATCTGAAGGAGGCTCCAGGCTCTGAGTTGTCAGCACAGTGCCTGACACAGGGCTTGAACTCACGAACCATGAGATCATGACCTGAGCCCAAGTTGGAGGCTCAACCGACTGCGCCACCCAGGCACCCCCAATTTGAAGCTTTTAAATAATGATCCTAAAACCTTTGACTGTCTTCTTGTTATCACACCCATTTTTGAGAACAAGTAGAAGTCTGTAATTATAAACTGTTTATGTGTGGGTGGTTTGTAAAATGAAAAAGGACATGGTGTTCCATGTGCTTAAAATAACCTCCAAGCACAGAGGTCTCTCAATGAAGCAGAGCATAAAGCAATCAAAGTGGGGCACTCATCTCTGAACTCAAACATTGTTTATGTCTGCAGATTTTATTTAGCAAGGAAAAAAAAGGTCAAAATGATCACTCGCAGTTTCCTTTTAAATAAAGGAAAGTTTTTATTTTCAAATTATTTATAATTGCTGTATACTAGATCCTTAGTAGGATTACATTTCACATCTTTAGTTATTAAAGAAGAAAGACCTGTTCGTGTCATTTAAAAAATTTTTTAATTAAGGTATAATTTATGTAAAGTTCATTCTTTTTAGTGTAAGATCTGTAATTTTTTTTTTGAGAGAGAGAGTGAGCATGTACACACATGCAGGGGAGAGGCAGAGAGAGAGGGAGAGAGAGGATCCAAGGCAGGTTCCATGCTGTCAGCAGAGAGCTGGATGCGGGGTTCAAGCTCATGAACTGTGAGATCACGACCTGAGCTGAAGTCAAATGCTTAACTGGCTGAGCCACCCAGGCGCCCCAAGAGAAGTAGGCTTTTTAAGCTTCATAGGAAAGGACTAAACTGTTTTCCAAAGTGGCTGTACTATTTTGTGTTCCTATTGCTAATACGTGAGAATTCCAAGTGCTCTGTATCCCATCTGACAGAGTGTTGTCAGCTAAAAAAACAAAACAAAACAAAACAAAAAGCTGTAGGGGGGTGGGGGCAGCGGTCAGGCAGTTAAGCACCTGACTCTTGATTTCAACTCAGGTCATGGTCTCATGGTTCATGAGGTAGAGCCTCACATTGGGCTCTGCACTGATGGCAAGGAGCCTGCTTGGGATTCTCTCTCCCTCTCTCTGCCCCTCTCCTGCTCCCAAATGTGCTCTCTCTCTCTCTCTCAAAATAAATAAATAAATAAATAAACATTAAAAAAAAAAAACTTTTCCTACAACAGAGTCCCATCTTATAATGGAAGTAGGTATGTCTAAAGGCAAATTCACCCATGGTCAAAATTATCTTAGGAAGCAATAAATTATCTGTCCCAGAGGGAACATTTCCTTTCTACGAGTTAATTGTTTGGGGAGCTGACTTCTAGCTCTTTATCACCCGATGCAACTTTGCCAACACGACGCACATTTTTTCAAGTCAGTGGTCCTGAAACATGTCAACCACTCAGAGTGACTTTGAGCTGCGTATCAGAAGGCCATTCTTCTTGGGTCGGGGGAGGGTTCCCTTTTCTTTCCGAATTTTGCCATCAATGGCTGTGTCTTCAGAGTTCATGTCTTTCAGCCGTAATTTTAATATTTTCCATCTCTCTAAAATCTTATCACCTATTTGGCTGGTCACCAAGCAGCTACTGGAACACGAAATGCCACTGTTTGATGACTCATATGTTGATGGCAGGAATACTACATTCACTGTGACCATGTCTCTGATCGTAACCCTTCATGGAGTCCCACCAGCCAGTTTTCCCTGCAGTGTTGACATGGTTTCTTCCATTAATCATCCAGTGAACTAGTTTAGGGGCCACGATGTATGAAAAACACACATTTTTTTAGAGATTTTATTTTTAATCAATCTCCACACCAAACTTGGGGCTTGAACTCACAACCCTGAGATCAAGAGTCACACACGTCCCACCGACCAAGCCAGCCAGGTGACCCGAAAAAAACACATTAAAAAATATATTTACTTATTTTTGAGAGAGAGAGAGAGAGAGAGAGAGACAGAACGAGAGCCCAACAGGCTCCACACTGTCAGCACAGGCCCCGATGCGGGGCTCAAACCCACGAACCACGAGATCATGACCTGAGCCGAAACCAAGAGCCGGACGCTTAACCGACAGAGCCACCCCAGGTGCCCCAAAAAACACATTTTAAAACACTGGAATCCCATATGGTGCTTTGAGATGCTCCTGTTGAGAGGCCCCTGAGAACTGAGACCCTTTAAGGGACTGGAATATTCCAGGCTCCTGTGTCCTGCGTGCTCCTAAGTCGGATGTTCCTCCACTGGAACGACAGAAGGTGCCTAAAATATTTAAATAGTGATTTTCCTCTTTTCACTGTTGCAGTTCGACCATGGCTGAACTCTCCTAAGTTAAGTGCAGGTATGGACACCACTGTATCTATTTAATTTTGTGTGCCATCCACGTGCAGGGGCCGTGCTACTATTCTCCGTGTTGTTCCAACTTTAGCCTACGCGCTGCTGAAGCAAGCACTGTGGTTATCTATTCTCTTGCACGATGTTTTGCATGGAGACGGTTCTAGCAAAGCCTTCCTGCAAAACCCAAGAGTGAGTTGCTTGATTGACATCTGTTAGTGCCCGTGGTACAGGTATCATTTCTGCTAATTACACCACAGTAATCCCTAAGAGCACTGTGATGTCAAAACTCTGGTTTTTACAAGAGAATAAATGATAGGCAAAATCAAGCGAGGTGGAACTGAAAAGGATATGATCACTTGGTATCGACTGCGCTACCCGCAATGACAAAAAAGCGAGTGTTGCATAATTATCGTTTTGTTGCATCCCTCACCTAGCAACGAATGCAGGCAGGAACCTTGTCTTTTCAATTTTGTGACTTAGAACCCCCCATCCAGTAATGGAGCATCAGAAATCATGAAAGCCGGGGGTGCCTGCCTGGCTGAGTCACTGGAGCATGTGACTCTTGATCCTGGGATCGTGAGTTTAAGCCCTGTGCTGGGTGTAGCGATGACTTAAAACAATGTAATGAAACATGATTAGGAGCTGATCTGGGGTCTCCCACCCTGAGAACATTTTCCAGGAAAAAAAACACTGCATTCTCCCCCCCCCTTTTTAAAAAGTTTTTTTTTTTGAGAGAGAGAGAGAGAGAGAGAGAGAGAGAGAG